AACAAGCAATTGGACAGCATTGCCTTGAGTATACTTTTGTTTATAAAAAAAAAAAGCTATTTGGTAATCCTCAGACGGAAGGCTAAGAAATACCACTGTTTTCAGAGGAATGGAAGACATGGGGATGCTTCCACCTCAAGCCAAGGTGTGTACCTAAAATTCACCATTTAACATTTCATTTAGACAGTTTAGAGAGGGTATTTGTCACAACCTCCTGCCATTCCAACAACCTCAATCACATAAGTATGATCTACTTTACTTTATAGATAACAAAACCCAGAGAGGTAAAATCACTTGCCCAAGGGCACATACCCAGGAAACCACAGAAATGGGACTCAATCCTGGACGGTCCACTAGGCAACACTCCTTTCAGAGGAATCCAATGTCTCCAACCCAAAGTGCATTTTCATTCATTGTTGTAAAAAACTAAAATCATTAAGCCCCCAATTTAAACACTACCCTGAAATCTATAACCCTAGATCACCCTGATACTGGGGACAGCTGTTTCCTTTATGCAGCTATAGTTTGAGCCCTGACAACAGGTTTAATAGGAAAGTTGACAAGGAATCAGGACACACAAGGTCTGTCCTTTCATTTGGGCCCTTGAACAATTTCCTTCTTTCTAGGTTTCCCCCTACTTCTCAGCTCCCTTTCACAGTAAAATTCGTCAGGAAGAGTCAAAGCATGGTCAGTAGCTTGAGTCCACAAAGCCAAACCTTTTCATCATAATACTAAGACATTATTTGCCTTCTTCAGTTTAATTTTCTTGTAAGAGTATGGTGAAGTTTTTTCCAGAAGTTACATGATGAGTGACACAGCACCAAAGTTACAGTGCCGAAGCAACAGAATCCACTGACTACCAAGGCAGATACTAAGGTTTGCAAAAATATAAATGCCACACTACTCACTACATATTTTTGAAGTTATTTTTCATCAGTTATGATACATATCTTAGTATGTAACTAAATTATCATTCATTTGAAAGGAGCATTTAAAACGTTTCTCAGTCCTGATTTTTCAAACCACAAATATCCATAGATATAACTCAAAACAAAAACGCTGGAGTCAATTTCAGGAGCGTAATGGGGCCTTCAGACCAAAAACTTTAAGAATCAGTGGTCCATTCTCTCACCATCTGCAATTTCTCTCCTTCACTCTCTCAAACCCACCCTAGTTAGGGGGTTCTCATTACGTGCCACCAAAATTGCTCATGAGCACTAAGGACTGCCCAGTTGCTAAATCCAGAGGTCAACACCCAGTCCACATCTCACTCAACCTGCCTATGTACTACAGCTGGTAACTTCCTCCCCTGGGTGTCTTTTCTTTACCCGGCTTCCAGGACACCATGCCTAGGTCTCCTATTTCTCTGGCTCCTTTTCTTCTCCCTAGCCTCAGTGTTGGATGGCCTGAGCTCAGTTTTGCTTTGAAATCTTCTCTATACCCACTTCTGTACCTTAGCCGTCTCCAAATTTGTATCTCTAGACCAGATCTCCCCCCTGAACTCCAGACTCATTCAACTGCCTACGCGGTCTCTGTACCTGGATTCTAAACAGGCATTCCCGCTTTCGGATGACTAAAATCTAACTTTCTCCAGCCAAACCTGTTCTTCCCAGCGTCTTCCCCAACCCACTTGATCCTCTCCTTCCAAAGGCTTTCAAGGCCAAGAACTTGGAGCCACCCTTAATTCTCCTCTCTCACATCTTCTGTTCAATCCAGCATCCTGTTGGCTGACTTCAAAATTCACCCAAAATCCAATCAACACCTCCCACCTCCCTGCTCCATTGTTTGAAGCCATTCTCTCTCGCCTGAGTTACCAAAGTAGCTTCCCATCTTATATCCCCTCACTTGCTCCTCTGTAGTTTACTTTCAGCACAGCAGTTACAGTGATCCTTTCAAAAAGGGTCAGATATCAGACAGCTGAAAACACACCAATGACTTCCCATCTTACCCAAGAATAAAAGCCAGACCCTTACAATGGCCTACAAGAGCTGTTCTAGTTAACTCCTAGTTACCTCTCTGGCCCCTTTCTACACTTTCCTCTTGCTCACCCAGTCTTCAAGCTGTTATACTGGCTGTTGCCACTGTCTGGGATGTTCTTCCTCCAGAAGTCCTCATGACTCACTCCCTCCACTCCTAACCTTCACTCAAAGGTCACTGTCTTAGGAGGCCCACCCTGATCTTTTTCCCGGCAAAATATGTATGCCTCCATCCCCCACTCCCCCGCTGCATTCTGATCTCCCTTCTCCTGCTCTGCATTGCCCTCACCCACAAAGCTATGTTTATCATCTGTCTCCCCAGTTGAATGCAAGCTCCACAACTGCAAGAACTGTCGGTTTTGTTCACGCATATATCTTCTGTGCCTGCAATAGCCTCCGGCAAATAGTTTCCCAATAAACATGTTGAGTGAATACATGGAACTGGCTTCTCCATCTATAAAGCTGGTTTGGGACAGAGGGGAGCTTGGACTCAATAGTTCCTCCCAACTCAGGTCTCTGATTCTCTAACCAGCCAAACTCCTCATTTATCCCACAAGTGACTTGAAGCTTTGGTACCACAGGGCTCAGCCCCGGGTCACACAGACCTGGGTCCAGGCCCACATAGGCAGGAAAGGCACCAACTGACCAAGCACTGTCCTCACTAGTTTTCAGAGTCGGGACACTTGACAGTAACTTTATTCCTGATCTTTTCTTATCTCAAGGTCACCTCCTATTTCTCCTACCGGAAGCAATCACTTCCATTTAGCTTTAACTCTGCCCAGTAACACAGAGTAAATCCCAAGTATGAATATCCAAATGGGAGCCGTGATCTCAATTAGTTGTGACAACCCCGTAATACTAGCCCAAATTCAGGTCCCTCTTTCAATGTCAACCTTCCTCCTAGCCCAGGGCAAAGTTGAATCCTAAGAGGTTTTTAAAAAGTGGACAAGATGAGACGGAAATGGGAAGTGACAGCATGAAATATAATTAAAACACTGTCCAGCCAACCCTTCTTACCCCAAACCAAGCTCTAGGGAACGTTGCTCTCTTACTCATTGGGCCGTAGGACAAACTGGCCTGGCACCTGGAAGATACTCAGTGTTTGTGGAATGGAAGAATTAAACCTAGAGTGACTCACTCGAGAAGTAAGTTCACTGAGAACACTGCAGTGTAACCAGGATCAACTCAGTCCTAACCAACTCAACTAGAAATCTGCGGGCGCCGATGGGAAAGGGAGACTAAGCACCCATGCAGGGAATGGACGGCTCTGCACCTAGGTGCTGACGAGGCTCCTTCCCTGGGACCACTGGGATCAGCTTCCGCCCGCCAACACCTCCTCTCAAGGCTTCAGCAAAATCTGAAGAGTGTCTTACTTCCAACTCGCCATATTGGGGAGAAAAGGAGGGAGGAGGAAGGAACAGGAGTAAGATATACCTGTCCTTCAATTATTCAATTAGCAGGATCTTGGGTAAATGACTTAACCCCTCGCAGGGCTGCAAACGTGAAACAAAATGGTACACATGAGAACACCTAGCGTTTATGGTGGCCATTGTTCTTTTTCTTTCCATTCCCACAGAACAAGGCTGGGGACTTTTCTTTTTTTTTAAGGAAAATAAATCTGACCAATACTGACTAGTCAGCATTTGTATCTATTGACATGAATCTCCCAATACCTATTACTACTTTCTTACCGTCTTCCACATTGGCAGCTGTCTTGCCAATTCTCAGCCCCAAGATCCAGGCACTCCCCTACCCTCAGTGCTACTCCAGTCCAGGTTCAACAACATCCCTTACTGGTGTGAACAAAGTAATTGGTCCAGCTGATCTCCCAATCTCCAGTTCAATTCAATTTGCACATGCTGAACTTCTCAATGTTACAATCTTTTGCTCTGGTTCACAGACGGTTCCCACATGCCTACTAAGTCAAGGTCAAATTCCAGGGTCCCCTGTTTCACCTTATTTCTATTCTTATTTCCCTTGCTCACCTCAGACTCTGGTCTAACTGAACTACCACTACTGTTCCTGGCACATACTTTTGGATTTTCTAGCTCAGCTCTGGCCACGCTCCTGCCGGCCACTGTCATCCCCAGTCACCACCTGGCTGCATTCTTCCCAACCCCAAACTGCTGGAGGCTCCCTTGGGCTTCAGGTCCTTTGCAGAGGCTAGTCCTTTCACCTGGAATGCTCTCCTCCGCTCCCAAGTCCCTCCTCTTGCCTCTGGGCACTATTCCCTGAAAGGTCAATTTCCTTACATTGGAAAGCAACCATCAGAAATAACTGCTTTAATGTTTCTCTCCCTGACTGAGCTGCAGCACTCGCTTTGAGGATGGGGCAAGTTTCTGATTTTGCTTATCAATGTTCCTCCAGAGCCTAGCACAGGACTTGACAAATAAAAGTCTGTAATAAATCTGTTAAATAAGCAAGGACTTCTATATAAGAATATGTGGCACTCACACACTGTTTAGAGTATCTCAGATGGAGAAACCATCTGATATCCAAAGTGGGGAAATGGTTACAATACGCTACCTACTATGGAACATCAATTACTGAGGGCCACACTTTCAAAGTACAACCTGCAGAAATCCTCAGATTAGTGTTCAATGGAAGACAGGAAACAAAACTATACCTAACTACAGCATGCTCTAAACTATCAGAATTGGACGTGCGAGTAGGGGAAAAATATTGCTTATTCTGAAAAAACTGTCCATACTTCTTTTGCATATTTTCTACAGTGAGCATTTATTAACTGGTAAGAAAGTGTTTCTAAAAGACTTAAGAGACTCAACTCAAATGCAACATCCACTCAGAAAACTTCTCTAGACTTTCCAAAAAAACTTGCACTCAGATAATCCCACGCCCCCTCATCAAGACTCGGGGAGTGGGGGGAATCTTCGATAACAAGCACTTAGTTCTCTCCAACTCTGCGTTCCCCCCAGCTTTACAGCACCCTCCCAACCCTGGGCCCGGGCAGAAGAATCCAGTGGTCCAGGAAGTGTGCGTGCAGAACAAAAGGAGTGCACTCACCGAGTTTTAAGAACACCCAAGATGCTTTGCCCTGAATTTTAAGCAGCACATGTGACCTGGTCCATTCTGGTTTCAAGTTCAAAGGCATCAGGCCGGTCCTGTGGGTTAGCAGCTAACATATCTTTCAAGAGCTGCTTGATCCCCTCAGACATGGAAGTCCTGCGTTTCTGGGGGATGTGCAACTCCATCTTTGGGTTTTCTAGCAGCGCCTCACCAACGGGGACGATCTCAGTCCCCTGTTTGATATAGGTCCCCAGGAGCTCCTTCTTGGTCTCAGAGTCAATGAAAGTGATTCTTTCTATCATTGCCCAGATGATAATGCCCAGGGCAAAGATGTCGGCCTTGGCTGTGTAGTGTCCCTCCCAGACTTCAGGGGCCATGTAGAAGTCTGAGCCGCAGGCTGAGGACAGCCAGTATTTATTCACATTCACATTTTTGTTGTCTTGATTGCCCTCTTTCCCTCGGGGGGCCAGCCCAGCACAGACCTTGCTTAGTCCAAAGTCTGCCACCTTGAGGATGGGGGTGCCAGACCGCTCTGTGATGAGGATGTTGTCTGGCTTTAGGTCCCTATGCACGATGTGGTTTTTGTGCAGGAAGGCAATGGCGCTGGTGAGCTGTAGCATGAAGCTTTTGTTGGTGGCTGGGTCCGGCCTCCGGGACAGGACATACTGATTCAGGTCTCCACCTTCACAGAACTCCATGACAAACCAGAGATAGCAGGGCTCCTCGGCATAACCCAGGATCCTTTCTCCTAAATCAAAGGAAGACCAGAAAGAGCCTGAGTGAGACGGACATATTCACACCACTTTTAGACTCCAGGGATGCAGCCTGTTACAGTAAGGGTGACAGTGATGACAATCACTTCAATGCAAGAGGACCGGCACAATGTGCCAGGAGCCATCTCTACTCACACAGGGTGAGCTCAGGGAGAACAAGATAAGGTTTACTGTTGACGGGCTGAACAGCCAGGAGGCATCTTAGTTTACCTTTCCAAGTCTCTACTCCTGCTTCTTCACCTGTAAATGGCCATGTGTAACACTGACAGAGTACCTGTGACGGTATCTGATGTTCAAGTTAATATAACCACCACCCTAAGAGTGAGGAGAAATGCTGAGACCCTGAAGCTCAGAGAGTTGGAGAATCAAATCCATGACCACAAAGCCACTGTTTTTGTCACTCCACGCCAGGCCAAAGACCTCCCCTTCCCTCCACTGACTGTTGTCAATGCGTCTAGAATGCCACTACAATTCTATTTCAGAGGCACACTGCAACTCAGTGTTTTCTGGTAGCCCACCCTACACCTAGCACTAGTTAGGTACACGACAGGCCCACTGCTACGAAGTTCAGTTTCAAGGAGTAACAGGTATTCATAACAGCAAGCACCATAAGCGGTGCATCTGCATCAAGGCCAGGTTTTATTAACAGTGAAGGGTGGAAAGGGTCACCTGATCTAAAGGAGTTCGAAGGGGCAGGACTCGAGTTAAAAAATAGGCAGTAGATCAGTAAGGAGTGGGTAGAAGGGAGCTCCAGGCTGAGATGGGATGGATAACGAAGCACAGGAACAAGAGGACTGGGGACGCGTAAACAGGAGTCTGAAGTAGAGACAGAAGATGAAGTCAAGTTGTGTGGGCTTGAAACTCCAGCACCACCAAAAGTCTTTCCTCTTGAACAACAGAAACTCCAGAGAAGCTGGTGATTGGCATCTTCAAACAAATCCCAATAATCTTTACAAAGCAATTAATGGTACCCTGAACCCCTAGCACGGAACTATCTGATGACGACAAGCGTCCCAAAAGCTTGAGCCTAAGTGGCAGATGTCTCATCCTGCCACCGAGGAGGCTGGGTCTGCCCTGGGCGGTCACGTGGACCACTGGTGACTGAGCCCAACCCTGAAGACAAGTCCTCTGAGAAAAGTCCCAGTATCTCCCTTCTGCCAAAACTGAAGGTCTGCCAGAGGGTTTCCTTCACCCGTCACTTACTCTTCTTTATTATGAGAACTGGTGATCTGGGTAAAACCCCGCCAAGCCAAAAGGCCCTGAAATTACCAAGACACACAGCCTGTCAAAGCCAGTGGTTTGGAAGTTCTATGTTGATGCAAGAAGATGGACAAGCCAAAAGCTTTAGGTTTCTGACCATGATTTGACAGACCACACTTCCCCCGTTAATTACATAATTTGTTTATATTGCTCACAATCAAAAGTAATACAGGTAGAACCAGTTTAGGGCAGATGGGTTTTGTTTTTTAAAAATCAGTTGTTTCCCATCTCATAATCCTCTTTCTAGGTCACTGGCTCTAGCGGGCTGAGGCTCTTTATCTAAAAAGACTGCAAAATGAGGCGGCGATCTGAGCCCCAATCAATCTACACTCCAGAGTAAAGACCCATAAAAATGAGGGCAAGAAATGTTCGCTGGTGGTAGGGCCAGAAAGGAACTATTAAAAAGCTATCAAATTCCTTCTGCAAAGGCCACATCAGAAAACACTGAAACTTCTAGTGGGGAAATAAAGGGTGGGGAATGATGATTATTTTATATACAAAGTTGGTAACTATGGTAATCGAAGTAAAAGGAAAACAACTTTGCAAAACAGACTACATACAATGTAAGTCCAGGTTATGGGAATCCAGGGAAAGGGGAAAAAAAAGGTGAACGAGTTGGTGAGTGGGCAGGCAGACGAGACCTGGGCCCGGGAAGCCTGCTTTGGGGGAATGAGCAAAGGTCAGAGATGCTAAAGGAGGGGCTGTTTGTTGAGATGACAGCACTGGACAGGGAGCAGTCTCCAACTCAGACACAGCATCAGTGACCATGACAGAAGGGAAACGGGGGACGCCAGCTACTTGTCCCAAAGACAAAAAGCACTTCCTTGCACAGGCAAGCGCCTTGGACTCATTTCACGAGAAGCTGCAGCATGTGTTTTCATGCAAGAATCTCAGCTGCCCACAAAAAAACATGAGAGGCATGTCAGCATTCCAGTCCTTTCCTACAGGCAGATTGCCTCCCTGGGCCTCTCGGCTACCTCACATCACGGCAAGGTGGAGGGAGGGAACGCGGCACTCAACACACTGGCTGCATTTCTGTTGAGAGGCAGGTCACTGGAAGAGCACAGAGCAGAAGATGAAGAGCCAAGGTTTAGACCCCAACTCTGCCCATTGGTTTACTGGGTGGTTGAGACTGAGGGTGATGGGAAGGTAGCTAGAACCTGGGGCAAATCTCTGACCCGCTCAGCCTCAGTCTTCTCACCCAGCATTATTACAGTGAGTTAAGTCACAGATGTGAAACACGCTTTGCAGAGGGTAAGGTACCTTGGGGAGCCACATCCTGACCACCACCATCGTCATTCCCACCTGACTGCAGCCAATCCTAGCAAGTTACCAACTTCAATACTCCTGGCACTGGAGGCCAGAGAAGACGGCTCCCACATGTCGGGCAAAAGATGACACTGAGATCAGAAAGTCAAAGTGTGTGATTATATCATCCCTGCCCCATAAACTGGGAAGAGACACCCACCTCACTGGGCTGTTGTAAGATTTAGCTGATACACGAAGCATCCTGCAAGGTGCCTGGACACTTAAGCAGACAAACACCGGGGACGAATCATGTTCATGTGTCTGGCTGGTCATAAAGCAGTATGTCAAGAATGTGGAATTTGGACAAGAACATCTGGATGTAAACCTAGACCCTGACCCCACAGTGCCTGCATGCTGGACAAGTGACTCAACCTGATGGCTCTTGATTTTCTTGTAAGACCGGGTTACAAAAGCAGCAGCCTAAAGTGGAGAGGCCTGTATGGGAGAATGAACCACGAAAACGCCATGAAAGGCTATCAGAACTTGGAACAGAGCAGGGACTTGTTAGCCCTGCAGAACCAACAGCCAGGCAGAGCGCGGGAGCCCACGCAGTCCGCTTGCCAGGCTCACTTCTCACCATTTTACAACTCGCCCTTTCCGCCCCTGAACGGAGTCCACACTCCTGGCAGCTGCTCCCCCCCAGGGCACCTCTCGCAGGCTGCAGGGAAATAACAGTGGCTGTGCTGGGTCCCCTGGACGGGCACTCACAGTGGAACGAGACCGCGTTTGTGCACTCCCCGCAACGCAACTCACACCTATTGACAGTAGGTCCTCAATAACTGGGTTGAGATGAATCAGGATGAGAATTGTTGGCTGGAGAGGCTTCAAACAGCAACAACAGGGAATGTTCTGGTATAGGGCATGCGGAATGTGTAGATTAACACAACTAGGTAGACACCCAGAATTTGTGAGTCACTGCAGAGGGCCCTGGCTCCATACCACCAAAAGCCAAATTCCAGTTGAAAATAAACTGATGTTGTTAGGGATCTTAGCTCTCCTGGAGAGTTAATTTATACTATAAAGAGCCCTACCCAATGCAACCCCAATTAATCAAAGCTCTCAATTAAGTAAGGGCTGTTTCTATCTCCTGGGGCTGGTATCTAAAACCCCCAATGCACCCAGAAGGCAGGCAGTCTGTGATAGCAAGAGAGAAGTCTGTGTGCTTGTCCCAAGACAATCAAGAGTACACCAGAAAGGAGGTAGAGGGTCCTTGGCAGCTGAGACATAGGGGAGGCACCCGTGGTGCTCCAAGTACTGGTCAATACATAGTCAAAAACAAATGGTCTCTGAGTGAAGTATGATTATGCCTATTTAACAACCAAGAAAAACAGAAGAGGCCAGAACTTAAGCCCCTTCCCAAGAGTGCAGCACGGCTGTCAAGGGGAGCAGGATGCCGGCACATCATCCGGGCTTGGCTATCTGCTTAGCTGCTTTACATCAGCAGCCTCACTAACCTCAGTGCCTCAGTTGTCTTACCTGTAAAATAGGGATAATTATAGACTTTCAAAGGTGGCTGTGAGGATTGAATCAGCTAACAGGTTTAAGGCTTTGAGAACAGCTCCCGGCACACAGCCAATGAGTTTTATTTTTATTAACAGGATGAAACGGGGACTAAGACCTTCTGACTCCAGTCAGTACCAATGTTCTACTGTATCCCGTTCATTTCCAGGGCCTTTAATGCCGCCTTTTATCTATGTCAGGGTAGCCAAAGATCACCATTCAGCCTCTGCCTCTACCTCTACCTGGGGTTCTCTAAACTCTGAGGCCCCACCCTATAGCAGAGAATTCAGAGTTGCTTTCTGGAGGCCTGGGATGGGTGCCCGGCTCCGAGCCTGAAGTTTCCCTAGGCTGAGAGACTACAGGCCGACAGCCCCTCCACTAAGACCCTGGCCGCTCCCCACACCCAGTCCCCCTCACAGCTTACTGAAGTCTACTTCCTTCCTTGCTTCCCCAGGCCTCTCTCCTCCCAGGAGGAACCTCTACTGTTTTCCAGGACACCCACCACTTGTAACCTTGCACTGTGGTCGTCTGGGTACGTACGTGTCTTCTGTGTGCCTCATGGAGGAAACGTGGTACAGCCTCTTCTAATACGATGTGCGGCTCAGTCACCACTGGGCATCGGTGTGCAGACAAGACTACAGCCCAAAGGCCGAGATTCCCACCCATGTCAAGCCACCTAAAGGCATCTTGAGTACAGCAAACGTTAAATAATTGGTAAAATGAAACAAGTTTTACCAAGTTAGGATAAGCTAGGCTCCTAGAGTTTTCAAACTTCTAATTCAGTTGTCTTGGATTTTTTTCTTTCTTTTTGTCTTTATTTGTTGCCTCTGTCAGAAGGATCAATGTGCACCTTAGAGAGCACCAGAATTTGAGTTTGACAGTGAGCTCAGGCTTGCCTGCTGTCTAAGTGGCAGTAATCTTGAACCCAGTTTTAGGTGCATTCAAGACAGGGTCCTTTGGCGATGGAAACAAGAGTATAAAAGCAAACTCTTGATGCCTTAACTCTTTTCTTTTAATGAAAACTACTTGAAAGTTAAAGCCACCAACCCATCAATCAAATAATTTATAGGACTGTTAATCTGGTTTAAAAAAGCCTGGGAGGGTGGTTTGAATTCTACCACAAACTCATTTGGGGCAAGTCTTGTCCCTTTTCTTCCATTTCCTCCCCTGTGAAACAGAAGGTCAGATCAGACGTCTAAGACTGCTCACCAACTCCGGTTCTCTATATAATACTCTGCGTAGGACTTACCTGGTCTATGTTTAGAGAGAAAGGAAAGACACAAAGACAGAAGTCTATCAAAGTTGGGTAAGATGAAGACCTGCCATTAGGAAGTCTCCTCCCCCATCTTTGATATTGGATTATTCATGTATAATTTTTTAAAACTATAGAACACCTTCTGGTCAAGTTGATACTACAGCGGAGGAAGAAACAATCATTCTCTATTTGGCCCAGTTGTGAAATAAATTCCACTTTTTTTCTCTACGGATCCACATGTTCCTAGGCCCACTTTTCTGCTAACTTTGGGCCAACTCCTGATTCTCATTTTTTCTGTTAATTTCTAGAACATGGTACAAAGCCGCTGTTAATGAGCCAACTTGCCTTTTCCTCCTGTGACTCTGATTAGCGTTTGAATCTCCTACAGGTCCTTAAACTTTTCAAATTAAGTTCCTTTGGGTCAAAGAGTTTTTTTTTCTTCTGCAAATATCACTATAGGCTCTCAGTAGAAGTTTGTGGATTTGGTTCATTTAAACTTTAAGGCACATTAACACTTATCTGTTCAAAATTATTGTGAATTGCAGGTGACTGGGCAAGAGGTGACTGCAAAGGACATTCTGATTAATGACAGCGCTGAACCAGATTATCTGTAAACTAGAAGGAATCTGCCCCAGGGCAGATTAAGACTGCTAACTCTTGGAAGGTGAAGTCAAGAAAACTTAACCTGGAGTATTGTGGGTCTGTGTTCTCTAATATTGCTAGCAAAAAGCTCAATGCCCATTTACTGCTTTTTAAATTGACACCTGACGTGTAAGTGTGAACATCAGTTTCATAAGCAGAGACAACATGCATGGTCTGTACTGCTGCATCCCTGGGCCCAGAACACAGACTGACCCACGGTAGAGGCTCATATTTAAGACTCCAAACAACTAAAATGGACATATTAAGTCTGTGACCTAAAAACAAAATATTTCTTTCTTTTTTTTTTAGGCCTCAGTTTTAGTTCACAAAGGGAGGAAGAAAATACCAGTGTTTCTGTCAACTTGGCGCTGCCGACAACACGGGAAACCAAATGTGTTCCATGGTCAAACAAATTTGGGAAACTTAGGAACACTGTCAATCTCGATGTGGATGATGGTGGGAGATTCAAGATGTAGCCTGAACTTACTGGAAAAACAGTGAATTTCTCCTCCTTTGGAGCCCTTGCTGACATTCTCAGGCTGCAAAACAACTCTGTAACAGGTGACTCTTATCCTATGAATAAAGGAACGCACCCCACAGTTTTAAACAACTTGTCCCCTGTCTTCTGAAGTCAGTTAAACCAGGACTAAATGTCTGACCCCATAGTGCACGGTATTAACCACTGTGCTATGCTACTACAGTTGGCTGTAGTTTTGACAAATTCTACAAGTGAAGAGAGTTTGAACAGTGCATGCAGGGAGAGGAAGCGAAGACTTCTACCCCAGGCTGAAGTTTCAAAACTGGTATCAATGAACTGAGGGTAGAAGGGGACTCTTTGACAAATTCCTATATCCCAAGGCAGTCGTGTAATATGAAGCCCAGATCATTCACTATTCACAGAGACAACAGTCTGAGAATGAAATAAAGAGCTTGCAGGATACCAGTAAGCTATAGGCATCTCCTGGAAAGTCTTTTTGAAACAAATATATTCACCCAGGAGAGAGGGTGGGCTTTGTAGGTCGATCGAGCAGGAATGGGCATAAAATGCAGAAGCCTATTTTGAAAAAGGACCACAGGTGATACTGATCGTGTCCCGCAATCCACTGTCAAGCAATGTACTTGAAACAAGACAGAGAGTTCTCTTGGGATGGGCGTGTAGGATCTTAAAGCCAGGCAACAGCTACAAACAAAATGCCCAGTCCAACCCCACCCGAAATCCTACCCATTCTTACAGGTCAGCTTTCGTTCATCCTCCAGGTAAGGAGAGTACAGTGACCCCTTTTAAACAGGATTGAGACTTTGAATCAAGACAGATCTGGGTTCCCATCGCTTATGCCATGAAAAATTCTAGTAAAGAAACTAGGAGTACAACCCTACTTCCCTTACATGCTGATTAACCTTCATCAACTTATACTTGTTCACCTTTACTTTCTCCATTTATAGAAAGAGGAGAGGATTTACTTTGAAAGTTATTATCTAAAGTCACTCTAAGATATCTGAAGCATAGTTAGGGCTCAGATTAGCAACCTCTCTGCTGAGGACGTCTCCTCGGGCCTCCCTAGCCCACTGGCCCTCTCTTCTCTGAACAAACGGATCTTGGCTACCTATAGTCTGACAAGACATTTGAGTACTGAGCACTCAGGATGAACACACTCCCTAACTGCGGTAAAACCTCGAAACTAGGACTAGCCCTCCCAGGACTGCAACCCCCGCCGTGCTTCACTGAGCCCCATCCTTCTTATAAATAAAACCACTTGCAAACCAGCCTCAGAGGATTAAGAATGTGAAAAACTGGAGGGAAAAGATGTTAGATGTTGTTATGTGACAGCTCTAGGCCCACCTGTGGGGTTATTATTCTGCAGGCCCCAAGAGGACTTAGCCAGAAAACCACCAGTTTGCTTGACTGCCCTGGGATGAAGGAAGAGCTGAGAGGGGCGGAGGGTTGTCTCAGAGGAAAACGAAGACTAGGAAGTAAGAGTTTGCAGGGTGGAGCTGGAGGGTGTCAGGATATTTGGAACCAGACAGGGAGGGGATGTGGGTGGGTCCAGCCAAGTTTTTCCTTTTTGTTAGTTTTGGGAGGGAAAGAGAAGAGGCCCTGGAGCGGGGAGGACTCTGAAGTTCTTCTACCAACTCTGGATCCAAAGCCCTCCGCTCCCAAATCAGCCCCTGAGAGAGCTGGACGTTTCATAATAATGGCTCACACTTACTGAGCACTTAGTAAGACAATGGTTGGCACTTAATGAGCACTTGTTATGAAAATACCAGCTAACGTTTGTGCTGGGGTCTGAACCTGGATGCTGAAATGAGATCATGGAGGGCCCGAGTGCCGGGTCCCGAAAGGAGGGTGTGTCTACGTCCAGGGTGACAGGACCAGGAGCACGGTCTAGGGGCCTAGGGGTCAGCTGGGGCCGAGCCCACTAGCTTATTGGGTCCAGGCCCTGCTTGGCCAGGGCGGCCCGCGGCGCTCTTACCTTTGAGCGAGGTCTCCACCAGGCGCAGGTAAAGCTGCGAGCTCTTGTTGCCGTGGCTCATGCGCTGAGCTAGCCCGTTGCGCTGCAGGACGCACTCCTCAAACTGCACGACGTTCTGGTGGCGCCGCTTGAGGCTGGTCAGGGCCCAGAATTCGGCCAGCGCCAGCTCCACGTTCTCGGGGGCGTCGCAGCGGATCTTCTTGACCGCCACCCGGGCCCCGCTGCGCCCGGCCACTGCCTCGTAAACCACACCGTAGCTGCCGCGCCCGATCTCCGCCAACAGGCTGTAGCGCGGCCGCGCCGACCCGCCGCCGCCCTCCGGCCGCCGCCGCGCCAGGTAGGCCTCGCCCGGGGCCTCGGCCGCCACCGGATCCATGGCCTGGGCCGCCGCCGCCGGCCTCAGCTTCGCGCTGAGCGCCCGCGGCACTGGGCTTCGCCTTTTCCGCTCGGGGCTTTGTGTACCTCTGCGGGCGCCGTCCTCCTCCCCCGTTTCCATGGCTGCGGGCGGTGGGGGGAGCAGCAACGGCGCTGCCCGGGTCCCCCCTGCCTCATCCCTCCGTCCGGCCCCGGGACGCGGAGGAGCGGGACCTTGGATTGTGACCTGCGGGCGGAAGAAGCGGTTAAACGACCAGGCCGAGGCGGGGAGGCCAGGAGAGCAGGCCGTAGGGCGTCCCACCTCCTCCTCCGGCCGCCGCGGCCCCTTTAAGACGGAAGCCACGGCTGCTGACTGAACGGGGGAGGGGAAAGCGGGAAAGACGAAACCACAGGGCAGTGGCTCAGAGGGGGGAGCCGGAAAGAAAAGCAAAAACTCCCCGCCTTTTCAGTTAATTTATCGTGTAGCAATACGAAAAGCGAGGACCCGCAGATTTCGTGACCTAGGAAAATCGCCTTAAGAAGCAATTCGGACTGTTGAAGTCTGTTTCCCCGCCTGACTCCCTGTGGGATGCCCCTCCCCACGTCCCGCCCTGTGATCTCCCGGGTGTAAACAGACCATTGAATTAAGCCCGAGCTGGAGCCCAGCGGACCGACCCAAGTCCCGCAGGGCCGCGGGTGGAAGGGGGTGACTTAAAAGTTCGGCGTCCCTGAGCGCGCCGACCAGGGGGCTCCAACTGCCCTCCCTAGGCGCCCGAGACCGCGGGGGTACTTTCAGCTTCGGTACTAGCTTTTTACTCCGCTGACCGCGCCCTTACCTGGCCGGCGTCCTTCCACTTCCGGGCAGCCCGTTTCCCCCCTAAGACCCCCGGCTGGGGATGGTCTGCTCCAGGCTGGGGCTGCCTCCGGTACGGAGCCGCGCGAGAGGCTGTGGCCCGCGCCAGGCGTGCGGCGCAGCCTGCAGCTGCATGGGTGATGGCAGCGTCGCTCTCGGGGGAGAACTGGGCATCTAGGCTCTCCACGTGTTCGCGCCAGCTGAGCCCTTTACGTAACCCCTTTATATAAGCCGCACCTCCCGCCCTCACTCGGGCCCGCGGGGGCTCCTGGTGTCCCATCTCCCGGGAGGTAGGCCGAGTACCGCGCCGCCGGGGTCCTGC